GATGAAGGATCCACGAATTCTCCTGGAAGTCGAAGTGTTGTTCCATAAACCAGTTGAGCCGCAGTGTATCCAATGTCAGCTTTCACTGCATTGCGAATACTACTTAAGACAAGTGGAAGAGCGTCGGTCCACTGTGAAACGTTTGCAGCTGATAGTGAAGCTTTTAGTTGTTGGTAAAAACGTTCTACTAACCCGTTTGCTTGTGGATGATAGGCGGTCGTTCGGAAGCGAGGGATTCCTAAAAGTGTGGTCAGACGACGGAAAAGTTCAGATTCAAACTGACGTCCGCGATCTGTAGTGATGGTTGAAGGGCAGCCGAAGTTTGCCACCCATCGTTCGACGAAGGTGCGGGCCACTGTTTCAGCAGTGATGTCCTTGATAGGTACTGCTTCTGGCCATCGAGTGAAACGGTCTACGCAGGTTAAGAGGTAAGCGTATCCATCTGAATCTGGTAAAAGTCCTACGAAATCCAGATGAACATGATCGAAAAGAGCATAGGGAGTTTTAAATGAGCCTAAGGGACATTTATTGCGCTTGATGACCTTAGATTTTTGGCAGCTTACACAGGAGCGTGCCCACTCCCTCACGTCTTTATTCATGCCAGGCCAGCAAAACCGTTCTGCTATAAGCTTGATGGTTGCACGAACACCTGGATGAGAAAGTTTGTGCAATGTATTGAAAACATTGCGTCCATAACGTTTCGGCACGATTGGGCGATCCCTACCTGTAGATGTGTCACACAGTAAGGTTTCCTTACCTGTTCCCATCTGTTTAATGCGTAGTTTAAGTGTTGTGGACGATAACGCGTGCTGAAGATCAGTGTCTTCTTTTTGAAGCTCGGCGAGTTTCAGAAGGTCGATTCCTTGGAAACTGTTCAAGGAAGTTATGCGAGATAAGGCGTCTGCAACTACATTGTTTGCTCCAGAGATGTGTTGAATATCTGAAGTAAACTGCGAAATGTAGTCCAGTTATCAAGACTCACGGGAAGAGTAGTTGTCTGAAGGAGAGCTTAACGAGAAAGTGAGCGGTTTATGGTCCGTGAAAAGAGTGAATTTGTAGTGGCATTGGACCATAACCACACAATCTTCAAAGCTGAACACAAGACTACTCAGAAAATAGATATTCAATATTTAACGCCGAGAAATACCTAACGATGGAGAAGACGCGAACAATGAATTGAAGTTGATCGAGTGGCATGGATCGGCCATGCAGGCGTGGTCTCCGCTGAATGTTACCTTATATCTTCTATTCATATTAAATATATTGTTCTTTCTCTAGTCTAACCTTGTTCTACATCATGTATTGGTAATTGATACGATACAGTGAGTTGGCGTAGTCGATGGTGTGACTTCCACGTAAGATCTTATAGATTAGGCAGTTATATCATAACAAATCTACAAATTTAGGATTAGGTCTATTATTAGCGCAGCACTAATATCATAGTAGACCATAATTCTACATTGGTAAGCCCGACTAGAGAAACGCAACCTATTATTGTTAATCTTATTTCCATTCTAAATTTCTTGATCTATTTTGTATTTATGTTAACCCAATATTCTAACAGTCCTGATTAATGCTCACATGTATTATCGTAATGTTATATTGATTAGTTCTCATGACATACTAGCTCAATCGATAATAAAAACTGGTCGTCAATATTAACTAATTAGCTTTGATGATTCGTTAACAAGCTTTAATAGCATTTACATGCTTCAGCAACATAGACTTGTTTAAGCATCAAGCTCTAGCAAATATAACAATGTGACTGCGCGAAGATCGAAATAAAGACCTATTCACTACTTCTCTGGTTTCTTCTATCAATAGCACGAGGGTTACCTTAAGGCAAGAAAAATTCACTGCCTTCGATATAGTGTTGGAAATGCCGTACAGCACAATACATAGCTAGGAGTTCCCTACCGAATGTGCTGTACCTCGATTCGGTGTCTAGCAACCGTCTAGAGAAAAATACCAATGGTTGTCGGGAGTTGTTAACCCATTGTTGTAAGACTCTTTCGATTGCTGAGCCGGATGCGTCTACTGCGGTACTAATGGGTGCTCGGGTGTCCTGATGTGGAGGCATTGTTGCTTTAGCGATAGGTTCCTTAATTGTGGAGAATGCTTTTCGTGCGTTGTCGTCCAAATTAATGGATTTCGTATTTCCACGAAGTTGGTCGGTTAGAGGTTTCATGAGTAAAGCGCATTTAGGTACGAATCGTCTATAGAAACGTACAAGGCCGATAAACGTTCGTAGTTGTTTGATCGTGGTCGGTTCTGGGTAATCCAGAATTGCCGCCATTTTGGTCCTAAGGAGTCGAATGCCTTGAGCATCTATAGTGTGTCCTAGAGAGTTTAATGAGTCGGTTCCGAATTGGCATTTCTGAATGTTAGCAGTAATGCCATGTTTTTGTAGTCGTTCGAAAACAAGATCCAGATGCTTGAGATGTGATTCTCTGTCCGGACTTGCGATTAAGCAGTCGTCAACATGCGCATGTACGAAGTTGAGACCCCGGAAAACGTCGTCTATGAATGTTTGGGCAACGTTTCTTAGACCGAAAGGCATTCGCAAAAATTCATAGAGTCCGAAGGAAGTAATGATGGCGGTTTTCGGAATGTCGTCGGTAGCCATAGGGATTTGGTTATACGCTTTAACCAAGTCGATTTTCGAAAAGACAGTTGTACCTTTCAAGGTAGCTGTCAAATCGTGAATGTGGGGGCAACGGGTAACGATCGGGAATGGTTTTTGCAGACTCGCCGATAGTCACCAGTTGGATGCCAATCGTTGCCGTCCTTTTTAGGGACCATGTGCAACGGAGATGAATATAGGCTATTTGACGGTCGTATGATTCCTAAGTCTATCATGTGATCGAACTCCTTTTTCTCTAACCTTAGCTTTTCAGGAGCTAGTCGTCGTGCTTTAGAGAATACAGGTGGTCCTGTAGTCGTGATGTGATGTGTAACATTGCTGGTTACACACGGTAGTTTCAGTTGCGTTTGTTGTATCCCAGGATACTTATCGAGTAGCGGTTGATAAAGTGGGTCTATCGTATACTTAATTGTGACTGGGGATAATCTGCAACCAGAAAAAGAATTTACGCAAACGGATAAATTGGTGTTTCCATCTACTAGCCTCCGTTTGCGCGTATCGATGATCAGATTATGGTGTTGTAGAAGGTCCATGCCAATGATTGGCATAGAAACATCTGGTCTAGAGACAGATCGCTTACGTAAAATGCTTCTACGTGGTATGCGCGATCTCTTACGGTCGGTACGAAGACTAAGATAACGCGTGAGTGTATGACATAACTCGGTTATGTCATTCTGAGTCGTTAGAGGTTTTTCTTTGACTGAAAATACCTCGGTAATAGAAGATTTCGTAATTTCTAAGATACGCTGGGCAGATGCAGCCAGGCGTTGTTCTGAAACGAGACCAGAACCGCCTGCACCTGTTGGGGAAGTTTTGACAAGAAAAGTTGTTTGAATAGGCCTTCGTCGAAATTTCTTAGGCCTATAACCTCTCTCATCCTTTGCAACATGTCCGTCGCGGAACCGTGCCGCAGGTCTATGTTATTAAGGAGTTGGTCTAACCTTTGTCGATTGGTTAGGTCTCCTCGTTTAAGAATCGAACGCTTTAAGGTTTCGTAAGGTTCAGAAACATCACTAGTAAACATACTAGGTGTTACGTACCTGTTGAATTCGCGCGGTAGTGCCTTGACTACTGCGAGGAATTGCACACGTGTGTCGTTCACGCCGTGCTCGCGGAAGTCGGCTTCTGCGTAACAGAACCGGGCTTCGATATTGTCGGGTCAGAAGGGCATGAGCTGGAACGAGGGCGGGGACATGGTATTAATCTTAAATACCTCAGGAGTCTGTTCGGTCATGGGGGAATATTAAGTACGAGAATACGAGGGAAAAATATAGATATCCTGAGACACTGGGAAAAATATCACAATGTATAAAAACTGAAAAATAAGACAATAATATATTATTATCCCAAAAGGGAACAGACCCATAGTTGCAATTAGGTGTACCAGATCACGTCGGTCTCACCAATGAAGATGACACAGGTATTCAGTGTTTGACAACGCTTTTACCAGCAACACTCAATATAATTTGTACCCACCAAGAGAAATCAAAAGACAGAGTCGAGGAGATCGGAAGAGTGTATGTTGCGATTACCAATATATTGGAATTCTCTTATCTAATCTGGCTAGCGATTGCGGTAGATGTTGAGCACAGTGTTACCACACGTTATCTGGTGCGGATGCATGACTGAGCGCCTTCAGCTAGATGGGTCCACTGAAACATATGGTCAGCATTCAATGTCGAAAACTTACAGAGCTATTTATTTTGGGGATTTATTCATCGCTACAAAGGTTAGAAGCGTCACCGTCGTTGTTAGTAAGGCCATTGGCACCTAGGAGTTGGCAAACTCGAGTTTTGGCTTGTCGAAGGGAGGCTGAGTTACGGAATAAGCGTTTCGTATTCGCAAAAAATTTATCGATGAGTTTTACCTGACACTAAAGCCAGTCTTCTCTCATTGTTCTTGTGCTAATGTTTCTCATTTGTTTGCATTGCCTGTATGCGCTGCTGTTACCAGTGCGTTTGTATAACACACACCAGTGCCTTTTGAGGCTTAGAAAACGAAGAGTGCTGTTCTTGAAGACTGTAGGTTTCTTGTGGATTTTGGGGACCGTTTGTGGAACAGACTACCTTGTAGCACATAAGGTCGTGTGCAGTAAGCAATCCTAATGAGCATCTACATCAAGTTGAGGGTGTACTTCCAAGTCCACCTGCAGTGGATTGTCCTAAAAATCTGAAACCCCCAAAACGGTTTATTGGTTGTGTAAATGAAATTTTGCCTGAAAAATGTTTCTTTTATTCTAGTTACAACCACTTGAAGCGTGCTAACAACATCTTGGAAATTGAGGATTGTACAAACCTTATTTATTGTGTTTGTTGAAATAGCCAGGTAAGCAAACGTGTCATTGCTACGTACAACTATGAAGTTATCCGTCGCCCTCGTTGTTGTTTCCCTTGTTTTGGCTGCGTCAGAAGTCACTGAAGAAGATGATGTGCTTGTATTAAATAAAAAGAACTTTGATGATGTCATCAAGAACAATAAGTTTGTTTTGGTTGAGTTCTGTGAGTTGGTACACTTCATTTGATTGATTTATTTAGATGCTCCTTGGTGTGGTCACTGTAAGGCTCTTGCCCCAGAGTACAGTGCAGCAGCCAAAAAGTTAAAGGATAAAGGTTCACTAGTCAAACTTGCTAAAGTGGATGCTACTGTCGAAGAAGAACTTGCGTTCAAACATGCTGTCAAGGGATATCCGACTTTAAAGTTCTTCCGAAACGAACAACCCATTGACTTTGGAGGCGAAAGAGACTCTGACGCAATTGTAAACTGGTGTTTGAGAAAATCCAAACCTCCCGTGGAGTATATTGAGTCATTAGATAGTTGTAAGCAATTTATCGACAAGGCTAACATTGCAATATTGGGTTTTATCAAGGTAATTAAACGGTTGTTGAGCTTACATTTCAGGATACGGACTCCTTGGATTTGGCAGATTTCGAAAAAGTGGCCGACGAGTTAGATGATGCTGATTTTGCAATAGCTAACTCCAGTGATATTTTGACTGAGTATGGTATCACCCAGACACCAAAAATTGTTTTGTTTAAAAATGTAAGTTCATATTTAACTGCTTGTCATTTACAGTTCGACGACAATCGTGTTGAATATACGGGAGAAACACTGGAAAATTTAAAGCATTTCGTACAGGTGGAAAGTGTCCCTCTTGTGTCAGAATTCTCCCAGAAGACCGCTGGAATTGTATTCGGAAGTCCAATTCAAAAACACATCGTCTTCTTCCTCTCAAAATCAACAGACCACTCGGATCTCGTTGGTAAACTGACGGAAGTTGCAAGACAATTCAAAGGCAAGGTAATTATTTGTAGGGATCATCTGGTGAATCCTTCATAGCTATGCTGATAGTGTTTTACATAACCTTTCGTTGTATTAGGAAACGTATTCCTTATCAAGTGTTTCCTTCATCTAGACGCAATGTCAAACTTTGAGGCGTAAAGGCTTTTGTTATCTAGTGTTTTAATGTTCCAACCCAGCAACACCGACCCGTGATACCTAATAATGTCTCTAAATTGCAGTGTCGAATCACATTAATTTGAAAATCTTACTTAAGCAGGTGCATGTAGGGAAAGGCGCTTCTAAATTAGGTAAACATTTCGCACAAATTAATATTTAATTAGTGATTCTCAGTCTGTCATCACTTACTTAGTTCTAGTGGTAGTTATAACCCCATTAATTTTAGCAGTAATAAAGTTATGATCGTCCACGTCTCCCATGCAATTTATCGTCGTATGTACAGAACCATAAATAGTACATATTTCCGAAACCTTAGTGAAATTTTATGCTCTGGGATAGTCTTCAAATCATAAGTGTTCTTAACTTCAGGATGGTCCAGACCATACATTCTATTTAGTTACTTTATCACGAGTGTCTTAATATAATTAGTGATGGCATTATTCACAGTCTTAATACATTTTGACATTGTTAACGCATTTCACACTAGTAATCTTGCTTAATGTATATAGAGTACTGTCGGGTGATTCAGCAATAAACATATATACCCAGGCTAAACTTTTCTAGTATATGTGATTATCTATCATATGATGGTCTACCAACAAGTTTGATAAAAACAACTCATTTTTCAAGACATTGTATGATCAAAAACTTATTTCCTGAAATGTTCAAAGGTTGCTAGGAAGACAGGCTCCTGATTGCTTTTAGGAAATTAGTGATACCGATTATCTGGGAAGTGACATTTTTATTTAAGGAAAGCAAAATTCACTACGAAGAAACATGGACTTTTCAACTTAACTACAAGTAAGGCATGGCACTTGCAGATTCGTCATTCAATCATATGTACCAGTCGGGAATAAGCTAATTATTCGTTATCACAAAGTGCCCTTCAGTGGAGTCTAAGGGTAGATGAGTATTCAATTACCAGTACTACAAAAAATGCTTTTTAATGGTTAGTGTGTCAATGCATACGTTTTTCTCCAATATTTTTAAAATTCAGATTCTTTATTTGAACCGACCACAAAGTATAATTATATTTTGTCTTCACGCTTCTTTTTGTGACTACACTGGTGCTTTAGGATCAGCCCGTTCAGTAATGAGAAGTTAATACGTCTCTGTCCCTCCTATAGCTAATGAAGTTTACATAGTCCCCTTTTAAAAACATCCAAGAATTCTTAAATATGAACGTGTATTGTTTTTCTTTTTACTTTCTAGCTCCATGTGGTATACGTCGACGTTGATGTCGAAAACAACTTACGCGTGTTGGAATTTTTCGGGCTTTCGAAAAATGATGCCCCAACTTACCGAATTATCGAACTTGGTGAAGAAACAACTAAGTATAAACCAGATACTAACGATTACTCTGTTTCCGCGATGTCTGATTTCGTTCAAAGAACAATCGATGGGAAAGTCAAGCCTTTCCTTATGAGTGAAGAAATACCATCAGACCAAACAGGTGCTGTTAAAGTTCTTGTTGGGAAAAATTATAACGATGTGGTTAAAGATAAATCAAAAGACGTGTTCGTCAAACTGTGTAAGTACTTCATTTCAGTAGATATGTTGTGAACTCATTCACCAGTTTAATCACTATTTTGTTTCAAATCTTGACATTTACTAAATGATGTATTTTTTCAACTTACTTGATTATAAGTTCTTGAAATAACTTCACGTGCTTCGGTGTCAACCTTTGTGTTAAAAACCCAATAAATACCATTCATTGAACTCGAGTCACATCTTTAGGTTTCTTGTCTTTCACTATGTCTTTCAGTTTTACGTGTTTTTCGGTCGAAGTAAATAAACTGAAATAATATGTAAGAAAATAGCGCACATGTCCTTAAAATATTATACTTTAGCAGTAAATAAAACATCTGTTTAACGACTAAAAGGATTTTTTAATAACTTTTTTGGAAACTTTTAGATGCTCCTTGGTGTGGTCATTGCAAGGCTCTTGCTCCGGTTTGGGATGAATTGGGTGAGACTTTCAAGAACTCAGATACGGTGATCGCAAAAATGGATGCTACAGTTAATGAAGTTGAAGATCTTAAAGTTACCAGTTTTCCAACTCTGAAGTTTTACCCGAAGAACTCGGATGAGGTACGTAAATGTTGACCTTAATAATCATTCAACTAAATATCATTTTCAAGGCCTGTGTCGAATGACTTTTTTCCATTGCATTTCTTCGTTAAGTCTTAATGTCATAGGTGGTGAATCGAAAGCTGCAAACAATTCTGTTACCTAAGGTATCTCGTGTTGCACTGTGATCATTTCTGGCAAATATCTTGTTCTATTCTGGATAATAGTTCTGATGTATTCACTACATACTTGCATTCTGTTTTTTCAGTTGGTAGTTTTAACATTTCGATTAGTTTTTTCTTCAAAACATTTCGTTGTGTTCAGTGGATATACTGAAACACTCTCCTCTACATAAATGAATCTTCGATACTGTCCAGAACAATGATGAAAGGTCCTCAATTCAACTATCTAGCTCGGAAAATTCACTAGCATCAAAAGCAGCTACCTGGACTTCGAATCTTCATTTCAAAATGTTAATGTTATCGAACTATGGATTTTTGTTTCAAGAATCATGACGCTCAAATCTGTATCCGATAGCCAGTTACTTCATAGATTACCACTAAGTCACCTTATCACGGGGAAACCTAGTTTTTCAAAACTTATAAATACTTAATTAACTTTTATGTTTTCATAGCTCGAACGAACTAAAAAATTACTTCTCATTTTGAAATTTACAGGTTATCGATTACACAGGTGATAGATCTTTTGAAGCCCTGAAAAAGTTCGTAGAGTCTGGTGGTAAATCCAGTGAAGCAACTAAACAAGAAGATCAAATAAAGGATGAACTCTGAGGCTGCTTCTTAAATGGCTTTATTTTGCTTTTGTCCTCATATCCCTTTGCTCTAAAGATCTGTTTTTTTCCCATGTATGTTCAATAAGCAATGAGCTTTAGTTTCATTTGTCCATTATCTAGTTGTTTGTAGGCACATATTCGTTCATGAAGTGCCCTTTGACAGTGCATTTCCGTGAAAATGTTCCTCAAATTTTTTTTGTACCATCTTAATTGTTTTTCTTTTTAAGCATTTTTGAATTCTGCTAAATTAAACTTGTTGTATTTATTTGTAAATTCAACTTGTATAGTAAACATGGAAGGATTTATGCTATATTTAATCTTTAGATATTGCTAATGCTACATTAGCTTTTACTAAATAGCATAATTAAGGTGTTGTATTCGTCGGCATTGACATTTCAGATGGATTGTAAAGTCTTTTATTATAGGTGCTAATACTCATTCCTCTAAAATTAGTAGATTGATATCTTTTAAAAGAATACTCGCTTCATTGGTCATTCAACCAATATTTTTGAGTAGTTTCCAATTTCGTAGACGGTTAGAATTTGTTTATGTTCCTTTCCTTGTATCATTGGTGGGGCAACAGAATCCTTAATTGAATTAACTTGTGCTCCACTCAGGTTGATATTGCTCAGTCGCACATAAAATGAGTGATGTGCATCGTAATATTTAAGATTAAAGACATTTGATAGCACTGTGACTCGTAAGTATTTGTATATGCTGTTAGGTTTGAAGATAATGAATTTTTGCGCACAAGTTGTTCATATATTAGATGGATGCTTTCCGTAGGAGTATTTGGTAGGTTTGCTTTTTAGTATCAGCTTCCAAATACCAAGGCATCAAGTAACTTGATGTATCTCACTGATGACATATGCCAGGATCTCACGCCCACTGAGGCTAAGTTCAAAATACAGGCTTCTAGTTATTAAGTGATATTAGTTAGTATCCTTGTGCGAATAATAAGATGAATACTGTTCGGGATGTTTACAGTTAACATCAGATCCGTAGAAACTTATTGTTCAAGGTTTCGGATGACACGGTATAATTAGAGGTGATAGATGCACAGGAATCCGAAGTATCATTTATAGTATTAATTGCGAAATTAATGTATAGACATTCTGGTATATGGAGCGAAAGGGAGTGTAAACTCATAACTTCTGAAAATGGAGGGTCAATACGATGTATTACGCCACTGCAATTAATTTAGAATATAAACGCATAGCGAAGTAAACAGCTCAAATGCAACGTAGAATGTTTTGGAGGCTCAACAAGGTACTCCAGCCTCGGGAGCATTTTCGTCCGAATACAGGTCTGGTTCCGTCTCTTGCATATGCACAGCTGCTATCCGTCCTCAGGAAATTCGAATTCAAATAGGCTCTCGACAGTCAAGTTCCTTTTCAGTGACATCTCAAAATAACCGTCATTGCATTTCCTTGAAGGCATGCTCATCAAAAGACCCAAGCGAAGTCGGTGTTTCATAAATATGTTTGTTTCCCACCCTTGTAATATTTATTACCTTTTAATCTAACTCAGTCACGATTTAAAAAATCCCTGGTAATATGATTTGGAGTATATGTTGTCCCTTTTCCAACCAGTCAGTACTATTGGTTAAGATTGTGAGTCGCTGATGGGAATCTGGGGAATGAATGAACCTAGGTACGCTTTTTGTTCTTTATAGGAATTTATGGAGTTTAAATCATTAATGCAGTTATACCTAGATCCCTACCCCAGTTACAAGTAATTTTGGTCTAATTTGGTGGACGTGCAGAAGTTTTCCTACAATAGCAACGTAATTTTAGTATTGTTTCGGTTTTAAAGTGATCCTAATGTGATATCTGCTATCCAGCTTATTTTTTGGTAAGAGCAAACAACCGTATTGTTTCTTCATTGTGCTAGGCCTATTTAAATAGTCTAAACTAATTGTTGTACATGCCTTCGTGTTACTAAGTATGTAGGGTTTGGACGTTGTCAATGATGTTCAGCCACTATATATATAAACTGGTAGTAAGGAATATATCCATGAAGAAGATACCATTCACAGTATTATTTATAAGTAAAGCGTATCTGAAACAATCGAGAATTTCTACCAAATATCACTACATATTTTCTTGCTAATCAGTCAGAGGCTCAATGACACGAGTTGGTCGGTAGATTCATCGTAGTTTTTTAACAAAGTCAATATTACAGTGTTAAGCCTTAGCTCGAGATCTTATTTGTTTGAACACATAAATATTGGTACAAGGGGTCACCAGATACATAATAATGAGGATAGAAAGAGATAAAAAATGTAAGGTGCGTGTAAAAAGAACAATAACGACCACAAATTAGTGTAAGGTAGTGTAATAATAATAATGGGGGAAACGGAAAGGTACGAACAGAAGAAATCTTTCAGTTAAGGAACTTACAACCAGTTCTTATGAAGAAAGTAAGAGGAGGTTACAACAGGATCGCCACTGGCTTCTATTCTAAGCCATATCTGATAACGTCTTTAGCCACTGTGTTGCACCATCCCTCGAACCCCAACCAGGGAGTCGTCAAGGACCGACAGATGTCAGTCCGGTTCAGTTTTCTTTCATACCATGTCATACACTGACCACCTCCGCTTTTTCCAACCAGTCCCAGCGTCCGCAAATAATGTACGACGAGGAATTCTCTGGGACCACATTCGTAGAACATGTCCAAGCCACCGAAGTCCGTGTTTCAGGATGGTGACACCAATTGAATTATCGTCTCTGCACCCGAACACACGATGCCGAACCTCTGCATTACTAACATGGTGTTGCCACTGAATGTCAGCAATCCTTCCGAGACAACGATGATCAAACACAGAAAGTCGTCTAACATCCTCAACTCAGTGAGGCCAGGTTTCACAAGCGTAGAGCAAAACTGCTCTCACCGACGCGTTGTAGATCCGATCTTTTACAGCCAGACTAACATCACGAAGGCGCCAAAGATGGCCCAGATTGGCATAAGCTGCTCTGTCTTTCTCTATACGTGAATCGATCTCATCACTCACGCCACCACCAGCTCTTATGCAGCTACCTAGATACATGAACTTCTCGACTACTTCTATCTGCTCACTACTCAGGGTGAGTACAGGATCAGGGTCCTGCCAGTCTTGTAAAAGTGCTTTGCTCTTAGAAGGTGCGAAGCACATACCATACCTACGGACACTGATTGCCAACTTATGAAGTGCGGATTGCATAGCTTGGGCATTATCGCACAGTAAAACAATATCATCCGTATACTAAATGTCGTGAAGTCTTTCTCCCGGTGATAGATCCACTCATATTTTATAAGTGGTGTGTGATCTTACTTAATACAATAAATTGGTTACATTATCTGAGCCTTCATTCATTACAGTGATACATGAACAACGTGCTAATGACTTGGATTTTTCATGTTCTCATCAATATGCGTTAGTATTGTTAATCAAAATTTGTAATAACTGATTTTTATGTTTATCAATTTATGAATTGTACTTTTGAGATGGTAGAGATTTGTAGCTTATGTGAATGATTTTGATTAAGTTTTATTGCCTGAGCTAGATGGTCGTGTTGATGATGTCGTTTAGAAGAACGATGAAAGCTACACGACCAAAGCATCCAGCTTAGACAACAAAACTCCACCAAAATCGTACGTTTTTAGTGAAATACTTGTAGGTCATTCACTTCCTAGAATGCTAATTAACTGATATGTTTAAAATCTTCATATAACTTGTGATAAATTTCAATTAAAACTAGTTTTAAAGGAATATTTATCCCACAATAGGACAAAACAGCCGTCCAGTGCTTCCAGGTTTTCAATGCTGGTCTAGCCTCAAATAAATTATGATCTTAACTATTAAAATTACTATAATAACTACGAAAACTCCTTCTGATATTAATCAACATATGGTCACTAGTGACTGGCTTCAAGAGGTATTTCTTGAAGTTCTAGTAAGAAGCAGTGAACAGTGGAGTTTAACCCGGTCTGTTGTGAGATAGTAACTCACTGATGACATTGGTGGATGTGTCGCTCAATTTCGTGGATAAGTTGAATTTAGACATCAACATCGTTGGATGCCGACCGGCTCCGTGGTCTAGCAGTTAAGCGCGAGACCAATAGGTCCTGGGTTCGAATCTGGCGAGGTGGGATCGTGGATAAACGAATACTTTCTTAGAACCTAGTGGTCTATATGACAAAGTACAGAACACATATGAAATAAGAATGTATGGTCAAACGATCCTGTAACTGAAATTTATGACTAATCGAAAACTAACAGTCCTATTTATTTATTTATTCGAACACAAAAATATTGGTACAAAGGGGCACCGAATACGTTTGATCTATGTGTTGACTGTGAGACTGCCCGAGTGCCCAGACTGAAGCAAGTGGTCTTCTTAGGGGGCTACACCCGAATCATTCGAACTAAAGGTTTGATCCACAAGACAGTTGAGCAACATTATGAGATGCAGTCCAATCCTCAGCAATTGGTTCATAAGCCATTTGTTCCTTCAGCATACTGGAGCCCATGTTCACAACTGGTTGGGAATCAGGGTTTTCTAACAGCCCAGTTAAAGAACCGGACATTCACATTTCGTCCTCTCAATTTCGTGAAAAAACACCCCCGTTTCAAGATAGCAATGAGTAGGACTTCTCGGACAGTGATTGTATATGCATATCTATGTGACAGGATTTCAAGAGGGAGAGCTGACTCTTCCAATCCTCAGCTGTACCAAGTAATCATAAACTAAGAAATTCTTCCAGTTTTAATATACGACAAATGTACGTTATTTGAATACTTGAATAATCAAGAAACATCTCTTAATTTGGTTAAACTTTCAACAATTGAAGTCATTATGATCAGATTTGTTAAATTAACCATTAGTCATTTAGAAATATTATAGTTATTCCTGGAAGTTTGCCAAAAACTTAATACTTCATTTATTAAGTAATACCAACTAATATCAGAAGGGGGTTTTGTGGAGATTTTAAAAATTTCACTGATTGAAATCATGA